CTCCTTCTTTTCCCCAGCTAAGGCTCTTGTTGCTGTTGCTCCTTCTCCCACTGCCTCTGCTGGTTACCCAGTGGCACAATTTGCAGTGATAGAGCGATTTGCATATGCAGAAACAATTGAAATAAAATAGGTTTCACATGCATGTTAAAAATAATGATGAGCATTTTATGTTGCTTTCCAAAGAGAAAATATGCTACGCTGGCAAAATAATCCATGCTTCCTTTAATGTGATGGAGACACCTTATTTTAAACTGTTTAAATCTGATTCAACATCAGTTCTTATTGTTAGTGGATTCAAGCTCTGTATTTGGTGAATCATTGCCAGTCTTCAAGTATCGAAATGGTTAGCAGTATGGGACTTTTGTATATTTTTTTGGCCTAAAACCCCCAGAATTCTGCAGGAATTCCCCCATCCAAGAATTCCTAATCACTTACAGCTTTAAAAAAAAAAGGAAAGAGGCTTCTCTCAACATGATGAAGATGGAGGAAGTGTTGGATAAGGCTAAGCTCTCTGGGAACTGCAAGGCATTATGGGACTAATAGTCTTCCTGCCAATTATTGTCCATACAAGGTGCCACTCTGGAAGCCTTTGAAAGGTTGGATAAAATCTTACTGGACCACTAAAAGCATTTTTAAAATGCATGCATTCAAACTCTTTAGAATTCTTGAGAGGAGTTTTGAAGCCCCACAAGATTCCTTGTTTCCATCCAAAAGTGAGACATTTTTCATGGTCTCCTTAATTTGTGTAATATATCTGTACTATAATGTCATAAGCAAAGTGCACTTGCACACACACATGCACTTACACACTGAGAACGCACCAAAGAACTGGCACATTTTAACAAATATGTGTAGAATCTATTGCTTCAAATTCTTAAATAAGGCAGTAATATTTTCATTGTTTACATAATTTACAAACTAAAATTTTGTGCAAAAGCCATGCAATTTAGTAAAAAAAAAATCTTTCTTGCACAAAACATTTTTTTCACTGGTGCAAGAACAATAATCACACATCTGGTCAAGATAAGGATTTATATACAAACCCAAGAGCTGTACATTTTGACTAAAAGGCAATGGATAGTGTGCTAAAGGACTACAAACATTTCATCTACAGAAATGGAGGCTACAAGCCTTTTTTTATAGAAATATCAAGATTTAGCTTGGCAAAATACAGCAATGCTCCAAGCCTGAAGCCTCCCTTTTGGAACTTGAGTAGCTATAACTCACATGGCCCAGATGATTTCTGAACTCTTCTGCTTCTCAGCCCCATTCCACATTTTGTAATGCCCAGCCTGATGATTTCTGAAGGACTCAAAAACCTCCTGTTCTTATGGCATTTTGGTGGTCCAGTCAAGGTATTATCAAATCCTCACCCTTTTTGTTTTACTGATGCCTAGGTTCCTCCTAGCTCTTTTCTTAAACTTAAGCAAAGTATTAATGAAAACATAACGATTTTTGTATTGACAATACTGTAATGTTATGTTCCAACAATTATGACAACAAACAATGTACATTTTCTACAATGCAATATTGAGATCAGTTTCCTGACATCTTTACTGGAGCTCCAGGACCACATATCCAAGGAGAAGGCTATGCTACTCCTTTAAGTCTGTAAGCCTACCAATTCATTTTTATCTCACATAAAACATTTGAATCACAGGCTTCTGACAAAGCGGCTTGCAGTCTGTAAAAATGAATTTCAGACAAAACTTGTTAAGTCTGAATGGTGCCAAATAATACATTGTTTGTCTTTGCTGCAACAGAATAAAATGGCTACATACAACGTCTGCTAATTTCAGCATCAGAAATGTTTGCTTAAATCTGTATAAGACTGCACATTTGTTGATGCTGTCCTTTGCTTCAGGTCCTGAATAAACAATTATTAATACTATTACCTTCCCCAACCCATAAAATCTAAAGGCAAACCATTACAGAGGAAGTACTTCTATTCTGACACCAAGATTAATTTTAGTGTTTCCTAGTAGCATGATTATCACTAATAGCCTTCTTTTTTGATACAGAAAACCTTTTTTCCCCCAGAATTTGTGAAAAACAGAGCAGCTGCTGTTTAATTTGTGTCTGCTAATTACTTTTTACTATTCAATTGCACACACCCCTAAGTCTTTGTTGTCCAACCCTCTGGGAACTATTTCTTCTAGCTATGCATTATTCCAGAGAGGGACATGCACCATGTATTGCTGCAGTTGTAAAATTACTACTTGTGGCCTACTTATCTCTTGGCAGCCAGCCTTCCACAATACCAGAGTTCTCCTCTAAGCTATACAATTCCCTTACTAACACCCCATAAAAACAAGCCTAATGCACATTCTTCTGCTGAAAAGCAGGATTTTAGATACACACTTACTGTTGTGCATACTGTACTTCCAAAACCAGGAGGGAAGGGAGCAGCCACAGGAGTTATTATTTTGAACAGTAAACTGGCAGGGAAAGAAGTTTCTTCTCTCCTTTTTCTCCACCCACAAATAAATGATTGCAGAGATTCCTGACATACAGGTTTTTAAAAAATTATCATAGTGCAGAAGAACTGTCCTTTCCGGTGGAAACTGGAGAAAAGCCAATGGTGTCCTTTCTGCTGCAAACAGCAGCTTGGGCAAGCATTAATACACCCAACCGCAGGCTTACATCCAACCAATGGGCATGGCTGGTGGCTTTAACAGCCATTATTAGCATATTATGTACTTGTTATTTATGCTTCTCTTCCGCATTTCCTGAAAAAAGCTGAATTATAGCATTGCTCTCCTCCTCCTTTTATGCTCCCAACAACGGTGCTACATCCAGGCTACCCAATGATGGCTTAAGAGATCAGTGGAAGGAGGAGTCTGGACTACTCAACTCACTGTCCAGCCCCCTAGCTCCTGCTACTATGCTGACTGAAGGTTTTGTGGATCTTAAAGCAGCAGAGGCTCAAAGGGAGGAATCGTACGGTTCACAGCCTCCTGAGACATGCTGAACAGTCACAACAGCTAAAGATGAGGGCAAGAATGAGAAGCAGGGATGTTCCACTATGAAGGTAGCAAAGAGATGGAGGCACAGGCAGCCCACCTCAAAGAAGCCCTCTGAGATTCAGTTTTACCGAAACCCAAACATTCTCTTAGTTGCTGTCCTGTCCTCTAGGCCCAAAGACAAGAATAAATAAATAAATAAATCTTCTTGCATAGGACAGGGATGGAAGGTAGATGAGATGGCTGAATTCTGCCCCATAAACCAATGATATGCAAAGTGCAATCTTCCATTTTGTAGAATCCCAGAATCACTAACCATTGGTTATGCTAAGGATGATGGCAGTTACAATTCATCGAGGCAGGGTGGGGGGGGGGAGAGAGACTTTGCGCCACCTCTAGCCTACAGCCTAGGGTCTAAGCAAAGCAACAGAGACATTCGTTTCCACACAGGGCTGCTCCTGCAGCTAGAAAAGCTGTTACTTCTTCTTAGCCACAGAGTGACATGCGGAGTGGTCTTTTCCCTCCTGCAGTACTATCAGCCGCAGCCTATGTAAAATGAGCTCGAAGCACCACAACAAACACTTCCTGCCTCACTTCAGACATTTCAAGGCGAGATGCCCTCTCCATGCTCAAACCACAGGTCACTGCAGGAAGGAAAAACTGAAGGTTGGGTTGTTGTTGTTGGTTTTGTTTGTTCGAGTCCTCACAAAAGCTTTCAAGGTTTTGGCAGCCAGCTCAAGGCAATATCCAAAATTTCAGTAATTTTCAAGGTGAGCTGTAAGCAGTTTTTTCTAAGTTGAATGCCAATAATTCAGGTCTTCAGACTCTTCTGGAGTGTTACTGTGTTAATAGAACCCTCTTAATTCTAATTCATCTGATCTCCCCCCCCCCAACCAAAAGAACAGCATAAGGTTCACTCACTGTAACAAATGGGATGGGGTGTGGAGTGAAAAGAGCCCCGTTTCTGGCACAAAGGCTCAGACATTGACATTCAACAAGCCAGACATACAGAGATGATGACATACAGAGATGATGAGTGGTGAAGGCGTGGGAGCCAAGCCACCTTTTGGAAAAAGGGACATTATAGAGATCTAATCCAGATCATTTCAGGCTGAGAAGTACCTCTTCCACTTTCTTCGGATCCGATATCTTTTCTGTTTTCTTCTGATGAAGCAAGCTGCAGTCCATGAAATCTTATACCAAATAAGACTCTTCCAGAGTTTAGCTGCAACAAACTACAGGGTAACAATGCCCAACCCTCTGCAGTCTTCTACCTATGGAGAGTCCCCACACAATGGAGGACACAGGAAGATCAGAATTGTGTCGAGAATTTCAACACAAAGTGGAGAGTCTTCTCTTCAGAACATCATGCCCCACATCAGGAGAGAGACAGGCTCCTCTCCCTCCTCTCTTATTTATTATCCACACATAACAGAATGCTGGGACAGGGCTACAGACTGGTCTGAAAGGAACTGGTGGAGAGCAACCGCACACCATCTCGAGGGAGGGATTGCATGCCTGTGGCTGTCATCACTGCAAAGCTTCTAAACTAGAAAGATTCCACTGCATTAAAACACTTGTGGAAAGGAGAGATTCTGTTACCAAATTCCAGAATTCAACTGTGGAGGCATTTAACAGTTCTGCTATGGAACAGTGCCAAAAAGGTTTGACTTTCCGATTTAAATCGCACCGCTGCCACACATGCTCTAGAACAGTGGTCCCAAGCCTTGGCTCCTCAGATGTCCTTAAACTACAACTCCCAGAAATCATGGCCAGTACAGCTAGTGGTGAAGGCTTCTGGGAGTTTTAGTCCAAGAACATCTGGGGACTCATGGTTGGGAAACCTAGAGGTCTTTAAGCAAGTTGCTCTCTTTTAGCTTTATATATGGAAATGATCCAACATACCTTACAACAAGGCTGGGAAATCTCTCCAGATTTTGAGGAAACACTGTTCCCATGACCCCTAAACACTGGCCAGCTGGAAAATCTGTAACTACCAATTTCACTCATTCATCCATTCATTCGTTTGTTTTCTAGGACTTATATACTGCCCCATTAGTGCACATAACTCTTTCGACACATAGCGCAAGCAGTATCTTCTCCCATCCACTCTGCTTTGGAGCATGGACATCAACCTTCAATAAAGGAGGAGAAAAAGGAATATGGTATCCACCAAAAGTAAGAGAAAGTTTATGTTCTTAGAAAAAGAAAATATAGCTAGGAGGTGCTGTGGTTTATTTCCCTAACGCTCACTAGTAGAATCACTCCCAAATTTTAATGTGCCATACATTTTGATATCCTGGAGCACAGCCCACTTTGCTCCACCCTCGTTATAATCCTGCTGATGGGATTTTGAAGTTAATAACATAGGGAGAGCCAAATTCCTCAGCCTTGCCTTATAAGACTGTTGTGAGAATTCCAAAGGGATAATGGACATGAGACATTTGTTGAAAACACTATAAAAATGCTATTGAATTATTTCATACTAACAGAACAGCATCCATGCACAGATGAGCATTTGGATATTAACCATCTCCATGGGCCCCACTAACTGCCGAGCCTTGCCCCTTTTTCTAATATTGCTCACATAACACTAGCAGATTTGCAGATTTGAGAGTTATTTGGAATCATACTTGCTGTGTTTAAAATGTTGCAAGGTATATATTACACGTATATGATATATTATTATAGTTTTGCATCTTCTAGCACAAACTGAACTATGAAGACAGCATGCCGGAAGAGCAGCATAGGCCTGTTTAAGCCACTCTGAAGGGATTAGTTGTGGCTTACACATTTTGCAGAATCTGCATAAATGTTCTTCTCACTACCGAGTTATGTGCTGTTAAGTCATTTTATAAAGATCAATCTCTCTTTTTCTCTCAGACACACAAAGAAGTGAGTTTTTCAGAAGTTCAACAAGTGGGTCAACATTGCCACTCCGCACAGAATTTTCATGGCTGAACAGGGACTTGAAGCCAAGTCTCCTGAGTCCTAGTCTAGTATTCTATATGCTGTAACTGGCTCTCTCACACATCACAGCATTCTTTAAAGGTAAAACCAGCATGTTTGTGATCAGTTTTTAAAATTTACTAGGTTTTTTTTTTTGTTTCACATGAGTACATGCACACAGGGAAGAAAGAAGCAATAAAAGGAATATAGTCTAAGTTGTTGGTATTGCACTGTTGAACATCTTACTATATTCTAGCTCTTCCCACAGACAGAGAGAGGGAGAGATGAGAAATTGTATCACATATATTATAAGTTGTATGGTGTTACACCGTTAGTCACATAATGGGTAAAAGATCCTCATGGATATTCATCCTTTGATGCTTACTTTGTCTGTCTGTGTGTGTAAGAGAGAGAGGGGAAGAGAGAATATACTGTAATGGGCACAGGCTGGTTGGTGCTACACTGTTATTCATATAATAAACAAATGAACCTTCTTCAACAGTCCTTAAGTGTAAGAAACCATGCAAGATTTGCCTCACCCTTCTTTGCAGCACTTGAAAACATATTGTAAGGAGAATGAAACATGGAGAAATTTTTCATAATGGCAGAGATCATTACTAGCTTGTCAATAATGGATTTCATTGCTCATAAAACAGTAATTTAACCAAGAAAGGATAAAATGTGACTGCTTTCAAAAAAAAGTTAAAAAAGACATTCTGCAAATCACGTTTGGATCACTTGTGAGACAGGTAAAACGTGACTGCTTTCAAAAGTAAAAAAAACAACAACCATTCTTCAAATCACGTTTGGATCACTTGTGAGACAGCCATCACAAGAATGAGGCTCTTGTTAGCTACCTATTTTCAAAGTTCATCTATTCGTGATGTCTAACTGCAAAGTCAGTACAACACAGCAACTCTAAAAGGATTAAAGTAAATCATCAGGAATTTAGACAGGCTAACAGGATTGTCATGTCATAATAGGCAGATGTTGGTATCAGATATTGGCTCAATCCAATGATCGTGTTTCATTTGCCAAGTCCCCAAGCATGGATGGATACCCACAAGCCAATGATCAACTGTGCTGAGTACTGTATCAACAATGTAAAGGAGGGAGAGTTGCTGCCACACATGAGAATAGATCCAGTGCCCTCTTAATGAAATTGAGTCTGGGTTGGGTTTTTCAAAATGATTTCATTGTGGGTTATTTCCAATAGAGGGTCTTTAGATCTTTCAGAGAGCTATATAATCCTTACCCTCACCACCCCTGCTCTGGCACACACAAAAAGTTGAAATGATAAGCTGCTCAGAGTAAGCAAGCTAGATTTTGTTGCATTTATTTGAATTCTGAGTCTCTTGATTCCAGATTCCAACTTCCCTTCAACGGGTCAATAATTCCTTTATTAGATAAAAACAGCCGCCAATATCCTAGTGCTAGCTCCAGCTAGAGTAGATCTATTGGACCAACTTCTGAGGAGTAAGTCAACACTTATGCAAATCCCTCAGAGTCAATAGATCTGCACAAACTGGGACTAGCAACAACATACTAGCCAATATAGATATTTAATAAAACTATTAATTAGCAAACACAGGATTTTGAGGTGCTACAAATGAGACAGAAGATGCAATCAGATAGACCCTTCTGGAGCAGGCTGGTATGAAGTAAACAGGGGCTGGGTGGAGACGCAATATGCCATTTGGTGTGATGCTTGCATCCATCTTCTGGTGCAGGCTGGTATGAAGTAAACAGGGACTGGGTGGAGACGCGATATGTCATTTGGTGTGATGCTTGCATCCAAATGGCATGTTGGAGCAAACAACCCTATTGGATCCAGTTCCCTCCAATCAGAATTTCTGATATTGTGGCTTAACATCACTTCACGATATTTGCAAACTGAACAGTTCCTCTGCTTCTCTCTGGAAGGGCTGAGGAAGTAAAATTGTTTTTTGGGCTGCATGAGACCATTGCTGCTGTGTTTCATCAGTTATACATTTTTGTTTTTTAAATTTGTCTTCTCTTAAAGGGCCAGTCAAGAAACTGCCCACAGCCAAATCTGCAGGTAGTTTATTGATCATCCCTTCAGACAAGGCAAGGAAAATATTCATTCATTCATTCATTCATTCATTCATTCATTCGATTTCTATACTGCCCATCCGGCAACTCAGGCCACTCTGGGCAGTTTACATAGTACAATAAAATTTTAAAAAATAATATATATATAAAAATAATATAAAAATGTAAAAGTAAAAGTATAAATATAAAACTATTATATATATTATAACTGATATAGCACATCAGCAGTGGTCTACTGCAGTCTGAAAAAAAATCACTTCCTCTGCTACAGAGGAAGTGTTCTATTTCCCAGTATCCTGAAGTGGCTTGCTTCTTAAGCCACATCATGATATCAGAAATTGCAATTGGAAGGCGCCTTGACAGCAAGAAGGCTCACTTTTGGTCTGTTCCCAGTGATTAGCCATACAAGAAATGGACCAAGTTAGATTGATCCTGCCTGTCCTACAACAAGTAGATGACCCTGAAAGGGGATCAGAAAGAGTCAGGCAGTAATGCTCTGGGGATGATTTGGCTTGCTCCTACAATTATTGTGTTCTGTGATTTATGGAAAAAGGAGTGAACCAACCTGTCCCTGCAGTGGATGAAATATGGGCTAAACACCCAACTGTTCATACCTTGAGGTCATTTTCATAAAACCAGTGGTGGGTGGGATCAGTGTTCAAACATCTGCTGAACAATGAAGCTATTTTACAATCTCACCATTGTATGCCTTAGAGCAGTGGTCCCCAACATTTTTGGAACCGCGAACCAGTTGGGGGTGGGGTCCGTGGGGGGGCAGAGATCCCCCACGCTCGTGGGTGGACATGGAACATTCATGGGTGGGCATGGCATGTTCGTGGATGAGTGTGAGCATGCGTGGGTGAGCGGGGCAGGTTCTTGGATAGGTGTGGTGCATTCGTGCTCATGTGTGGATGGGTGTGGCACACTCACGGGTGAGTGGGGCATGCACATGCACCACAACCACCCACGAACATGCCACACCCGTCCATGAATGCACAAATGTGCCACACTCACCATGCATGCATGTGGCGGGGGGGAATCTATCTCCGCAGCCTGGTCCTGCGAAGCCCACAGACCGTCACCGGACTGTGGACCAAGGGTTGGGGACCCCTGCCTTAAAGGAAACAAAATGTAACTATTTAACACTGGAGTCCTAAAAGTAAATAAATATTTTCTATTATAAGGAAAATGGGATTATTCTTTTGAGGAGCCATTCCTTCCCAATACCAAAATCCTACCTAATCTGGCCTCTACTGACTTTTTATCCAAAACACCACCTGAAAATTCCTTTCCATCTTTGCTCAGAACTTGAAGGCTGTGGGGTTCCTGGAGCTTCCATCCCAAAAAAAGATAAACTTTTCCAAATTCCGTCAATTACTTACTCCACAGTATTGATCGTCATTGAAAATCTGGGGAGGCAGAGGATTGCCTTGTGCAGGCAATTTGTCTTGAGAAATATTTTTATACATCCATAGCCTTTGCTCCTCTGACATGGTGATATCCACCTCTTCAAAGTCGATTTTGTTGGCTTCTAAGAATCGTACAATGTCTTGCTGCCTCTTCTTTATCTGGGAAACAGAACATTCAAAAATTAGAGAATTTCTGAGTGTTAGGACCATACTGTATGTGTAAACCAAGGTATTGCAACAGATTTAATACTTCATCTCTCACAGAGAAAAAGCTTTTGATTTAAAGCACAACCTTACAGTTGAAATTATATGTGGAAAAGGGGGGGGATGACATATCAACTGCTGCTTCCTTGCTCAAAACATGGGCATACTTTTTTGTTCTTTAATGTCCACCCCAAGTAAACTCTACAGTATAACCCTGGTAACCACACATTCCCTATATAGTGCATGCTGAGTGGGGCACACATACTGAAATGAAATATACGCCTTATTAGTATCAACATCTATAAACAGCAGATTTTCAGCACGGTCTTATCTCGAGTTACATAATCTTCACTAAGAAATCAAATAATAAAGTCTACATCGTGTGTTTACCTGTGGTTTGAGTTAAAACTCTTGTTTTAAATGAGAAGACTGAACCGAGTTTTGAGCTTTCTTACTTTTTCAGTTATAGCCTGAAGTCTTAACTTGTAACTTTAAACTGAAGTTTTTATGACTTCTGGGAATAAATACAATCATTATTTTAAAAAGCAGAGTATAACCGAAGACACTGTCTTCACTCCCCATGGTCAACTTGTGAATCCTAATTTGTTACACTTTAAAAATACATCAGAATCAATGTTAAGCCAAACAAAAGTTTCTTGTAGATCCCAAAAGGGGTGACTGAGATGACTTAGAGAGGTTTTATCAGCAAGGCTTGAAGACAATAGTCATACACTATATCACCAACACCTTGTGTTCAGAGGTACAGTGGGGTCTTGACTTGAGAACTTAATCCGTATTGGAAGGCGGTTCTCAAGTCAAAAAATCTGTAATTCAAGTCTCCATTGACCTACAGTGCACTGAAAACCAATTAATCCCGTAACAGGCCGTTTTTGTTCCATTTTATTTTTTTTCTGGTCTGTAAGTCAAATCTCAGTCTGCAAGTCAAACCTAAATTTTGCGGCCAGAGAAGTCTGTAACTCAAAAAGTCTGTAAGTCAAGCCGTCTGTAAGTCAAGGGTCCACTGTATATTGCTTATGAATACGGGTAGCCTCAGTTATAGTTATTGAATACGTGGCTCTAACCATTCTCCATTAGAATACAGCGGCATTTCCTGCTTCAGCATGTTCACCTCCATGTGGTCTCAAATCTGAACAACCTTTGCTAAATTGCCCTTTCTTAAATGCTTAGGAACTGACTTAGGGAACGTTACTAGACTTAAAAAAGAATAAGTAAGAGATGGTTTGAGAAGCTCTGTAGTAGATCAATATAAAACCTGTGTGGTTTTTTTCATGTGAAGTAAAATGTTTCTATCACAATTGGAATGATCTGGAAGTTGAAAATCTCTTTCTCTTATTTCTAGGGCAGGCAGATGATGGCATTCCTTCAAGACATAACTCTAACATGCTCTTTTGCAACTACTCATCCTCCTTAGGTCATCTGCATATGATATACAAGCTGCAACAGCATCTAAAAATAGCAAAGTTCCATTTATTATTTCCTTTTATTTTGGTTGTTCTACTTTTTCCTCTACAGTAGATATTATCTGCCAGTATGTTTGATGACTGAGAACTGTATATTTTGCCAGAAATAAATAAACAGGATGTCTGATAATCCACAGTGTCCCTTCCAGCTCTGCAGTTCTAAAATTCTAAGGGGGGGGGGGAATGCATATAGATGCAAATAGACACCCAATCTTCATCTCTAGTTGCATTTGAGCCAGCTGAAAATCTCCACCTTGTTATTTTATGAGCCTACAGAAATTCATGAACAACCCATAGGCATCCACACAGAGTAAGCCAACAGTCTAGTAAAGTGGTCGGGAAACGGGTGATTTACCCCAAATGGGGTAAAAATGAAAATCCTGGGGTTAGTGAGGGTGTGCGCTGAGGCACTTCCTGGCTGCCCTGCTCTCGTGCACCACATGCTCCTCTCTCCCCAGCCTGGCTGGCGGCGGCAGCGGCTGCATGGCTGCTAGCCCGATGCTCGCCTCACCTCTCCCGCCCTTTTTAGGAGCCGAGGCCACCTTGGGATGCAAGTGGGTGGGAAGCAGACTAAAGACCGAGGCACACCGCAGGCAGGCACATTTCCCTCCCCCTCCCACTCCCCTGCGTCTTCCCTCGCCAGGGCCTTCGCCCCACGCAGCCCCTCCCCCAACCCTTTCCTCCCTTCCCCTTGCCCACATCGACTGCGCGGTCCAGCCTGGGCTCCTCAGCCTTTTCGAGCTAGGTGTGTTGCTTTTCTAAAAAAGAGAGCAGGGCTGTTCCCAGCCTGAAGGGGAACCAGTCTGCCGTGCAGCAAAGGTCATCCATCCGACAAACGAACTAACCAGGTGCCTCTGAGCATGTGCTGAGCCGTTTCCTCCATTCTTGGATTAAGCACAGTCTTTCCTTCCCTCGGTGACCCATTGGCTAAGAGAAACTAAGTTCCCCAAGGTCTAGAGTGCCCTGTGAAGTCTGTTGCAACAGAAGGGGAGAAAGGGGCTCTCGTGGCACTTTTAAAGATCAACAGTTTTAGATTTGGCAGGAATTTTTGCAGACTGCAGCCCACCTGCTAAGTTTCCTCCGATTGTATGAAGTGAACCAGAAAAAGAAAGAGAGTGCTTTCTTAAACATACACAGGGTGCTTGTGCCCTGATTAAGCACAAGTGGATATCCCAGGTCAAGAAACAAACAAATTCTAGGCAATTTGCCTGGGTGCCTGTTTGCACAAAATGTGCCATCATAGCTTTTCAGGGTATGCTGATGATAACATTGTAGTTCTCTGAAGTATCCTGACTCTGAACACAGAGACACCATTTGGTTGTCATGATGAGCACTAGCCATCCACAGCGCTGCCTTCCCTGAACTTTTCACATCCTTTTTGAAAGCCAAGTAGGCTGGTAACCATCTCCATCTGCATCCTGTGGCAAAGAGTTCCACAGGTTCAATTGTGAATAGATTCAATAAGATTTTGAATTCAAATAATGTATGATTTCTTTCCTTTCAAATCAAGGGGGTAATGTTGGCGTATATAACTTTTGGGGGAGGTAAAAAAGTTACCTGACCCTTGGTCTAGTAAATCTTGGGTCATTGCGGCCAAGCCAGAAGGTGCTCTCAGTCTATATAATGTGATTGGAACCTTGCTCTAGTGTATTCAAGGAAACTAAGGGAACAGGTAGCCTCTGGATATTGCAGGAATCCAGATCCCATTGCTCCACCCAGAAAGGACAATGGCAAGACAGGAGGGCAGGTACAGTTGAAACTAGAGATTGAGGTATTCGTATTATATACGAAGATGAATATCCCCCCACAGGAGGAGATAATGAGGGTCTGGCCTCATGGTGCCGGATGGTCCACTCACCGATCTGCTGCTGCTGTGAGATCCACACTAGTATCCTACCACTCCATTGCTGAAGATCAGTGAGCCACTCCTGGCAGAAGGTGGGACGACAAGCCTCTCTGCCAGGTTGAAGTGTGGCTCACCGATCTTCAGCAACTGAGTGATAGACACTAGTGCGGAGCCTGCGGCAGCAGCGGATTGGTGAGTGGACCATCCGACACCATGGGATTCGATCCTCGTTATCTCCACCTATGGGGGGGATAGTCATATTTGTATACAAATACGTCCGACACCATGGGGTTCGACCCTCGTTATCTCCACCTATGGGGGGATAGTCATATTTGTATACAAATACGAATACCCCATCTCTAGCTGAAACCTCTGGGCAGCCAGAGTCACTTGACCACTGAGCTGAACAAGCCAAGAATGATTTACAGTTGTGCCCCACTTTACGATTGCCCCGCATTACGACGAAGCCACATTACCATGACGTTTTTGCGATCACTTTTGCGATTGCAAAACGATGGTCTGAATAGGCTTTTTTCGCTTTGCGATGATCAGTTCCCTGCTTCGGGAACCAATCCTTCGCAAAACGACGATTTTCCTACAGCTGATCAGCTGTTTCAAAATGGCCACCGGGTAAATAAAATAGCTCCCCGCTGTTTTCTGGGACGGATTCCTCGCAAGTCAGCCACCAAAAATTGCTGCCCTATGGAGGATCTTTGCTGGACAATGAGTTTTTAGCCCACTGGAATGCATTAAACGGGTTTTAATGCGTTTCAATGGGTTTTTATTTTTGCATTGCAACATTTTTGTTCTACAATGATTTCGCTGGAATGAATTAACGTCGTAATGCGAGGCACCACTGTATTTAGCATGTCACCCAACAGGCATCTTAGCTTTTTGATCCTGAACAGTCTTGAAATGTTTAACTAAGAACAACATTAGTTTGCAACCCTAAAGTGTAAAAGATTCCAAAATACAAAACAGCAAGAACAACAGGATGTCTTATTTGGACAGCCCATTAAGCCAGGCATGGGTAAGACCTGCCCAATTTTCAACAGGAGGAAAAAATGATTTTTTAAAAGGAGTAGTGCCATTTACTCAAAGCAAGATATAGTCCCCCTCCCAACAAGTATTTTGTAACTATTTTGTGCCCCAACAACTTTTTTACAAAAGGAACTTCCAACCACTTCCAGGTCTACCTTGGGGACAACGACCTGAAAATGGAATACTGGGCTCCAGACTGATTGATTTACAAAATCAGGAAGGAGCCAACTGGAAGTGCACTGGCTATTTGTACTTACACACAACTCATTTATAGGAAGCCAGGCACCCCTGAAATCCTAGTTTACTCTTCTGTACAAGCATGGTGAACAGGTTGCGTAAATGTCCCTCCAGAGCCATTTTATTCTGAATTGTTCTCAAAGAGGAGGCCAGATGACTGTGGAACTTGAATTCATGAAACAGATTTTGTGTGATGTGGCTAGATGGAAGCAAGAGTCAACTAAAGTGGTTTCTCCAGCCTATCATTTACTCAACTGAGACATATGCTTAGACCACCAGGGCAACAATCCTTGATAAACAAACTACACTGAGCCTGACAAAAGCAAAAACAAAAAAACAAAAAAACAAAAACAAAAAACAAAAAAACCCACATTGGTTTGGTTGCTATTTGCCATAGCAACTGCTTCATTACAGATATGCTGACTTCTTAAGGCAGATGTTCAATTAGTTTGGAACGCACTACACATTTGGGGCACTTTGGGGAGGGAGAGAGAACATAGCAGGCAATATGTTCTCCAGTTTCTAAACATTGTATCTCAGTGATTGGACATTAATACTAATTAACAAATGAACGGCCTTTCTTTCACTGTAATAGGCCTATGTAATGTAATGTGGTCCACAAAGAGCTAATCTATAGAAATCCCAGTGGACAGAAACGGGGATGCTACTGAAACAATCACTCTCGGAAGTGCTGCAACAGTGCGCTAGGTTTTGCTGTTTATGCACAGACCAAAGAGCTCTCTGAGTAAAGCTCTTCAGGGATCCTTTGGATGCCTACCCACACTTAAGAGAACTCTCAAAGAATATGCCAGCAAAAGCATTCATTAATGACTACTGAGCCACAATATGGAGATTAACAGGTGCTTTATTCACTGCAGATCAGTCATAAAGCACCATCTGTACAGGTGTATATAGAAACATAAAGCTTAAACCTAAAGAACTGCAAATAGAGTGCCTGAAAAGCAGCATGTTCTGGAATAAACATCAATAGAACAAGCCTAGGTTATCAACGGTGAGCCAGATATCACTTCCAGCATTTCTCGCCACTGGCACAGCTGCTTAGAGCTAAAGTACAACAAAAACTAGGAGACCACTCCCTGTTATCCATAGAACTACAGTAAATCACACGGGGCAGAATCCTGCTTGTATCACCTGCTTGCATGCAGCATGTTCTGGAATAAACATCAATAGAACAAGCCTAGGTTATCAACGGTGAGCCAGATATCACTTCCAGCATTTCTCGCCACTGGCACAGCTGCTTAGAGCTAAAGTACAACAAAAACTAGGAGACCACTCCCTGTTATCCATAGAACTACAGTAAATCACACGGGGCAGAATCCTGCTTGTATCACCTGCTTGCATTACAGAAATGAATCACATGGGGTAGAATCCTGCTTGTATCACCTGCTTGCATGACGGTCCCTTGAATGTCTGATTGGGCAGTTTTCAAGCTTATGCAGGGAAATATCCAGTCCATACCTCCTTCTGTAAGACTAGTATCCATCAAGTGCTTGTCCAATAGGCCACTGGGCAGGAAGGAATCAACAGAACTTCAATGTGGCTTACTGCCATGTACACGGGGGTCAGGACTGCAGCCTATAAGTTCTTGAAATACATTACTCATTTAAAGAGAAAAAAACACATTACTGGCATCTAAAACTATGGATCTGAACCTACATTGTGTTTACAATCGAACAAATACTAGGTCTGTCTTTAGTCATTCATTTATTCAATTTATATACTGCCCCATTTACTGATACATACTAGGTCTGTCTTTAGTCATTCATTCATTCAATTTATATACTGCCCCATTTACTGAAAAATCTACACTAGGCTCTTTACACAAAATTAAAACTAACAAATCCTCAGTACCCCACAATTAAAAAAAAAAACATTCGAAAACAATGGAGTGACACCCGAGGCAAAAATTATAACCACAAACATGAATAACCCTATAAAAAGCTAGAACTGATTTTTAAAAATTTGTTGCAGACAGCATCCCAGAAATTCATTTACTGAAGACAGCTTTAATTAATTTGGTCTTTTACCATCTTTCTAAACATAATGTACGAAGGAGCCTGGTGGGTCCCTGTTGGCATTTTATTCCAGGGCCTCAACGAAAAAGGCACAGGTTCCTTTTACCCACCTGCTTGGAGCAGGTAGGATGGAAGGATTATTTCTGGGAGAGATGTTCCTACAAGTATCAAGGTCCCAAACTGTTAACAGCTTTGTATAACAAAATCAGCACCTTGAATTGTGCACAATGAGACTGGGCTAAAACTGGGATATAAGAGCAAATTTACTAGTCCCCGTAAACAGTCTGGCCACCAAATCTGGACCTGCTGAAGTTTCCATACTGTTTCCAAGGGCAGCTCTATGTAGATAGGGCTTAAAATACTGTACTCTAGAGAAGAAAATTCCAAATAATTCAGATTTTTCAACTGGCATTTCAGAGTACTTTGT